TAACTATAGTAATCACAGTGTTGTTCTGTTACGGATGTATATTGAAATTTGGCTGTGAAACATGTCCACAAGAGAATTTGCCTGTTGAGACAATAGATATAAAATCGAAAAAAGAGAACATTAAATAGAAAGCACTACAAAGTACTTTTTAATTATCAGCTTACCAGTAGCTGATCACACACTGAGATAACACAACTTTAGAAAAAAAAATTATAGACAAATATTTCATCTTCTGACTTGCCCAAAATAAGTTATGTCATCTTCATTTTTCTGAACCTTCTTGTATTAACTAGTAGCTGTTCAGACAGTATAAAATTCCTAGAATGGAATAGTTCTATGTATCTCACTACTATGTATGTAATTCCGTTTACATCACTATGAAACTTTAAAATACCTATTCTGTGTGTAACTCTGCATTTTAAGTTGTTTTACTTGGCAAAGTAGTATGGGTAGCGGTGACCTTTTATTTAGTAACTGGTGCTTAAGGATTGTTGAATTCAGCAGAAAGGAGTGGATGACTAAAATTAAAGCTTGAACATCAGACAGTAGTGGAAGTGAATCCTCTTTCATAACTGGCCATCTGAAAGATATTTGGAGGCAAGTGTTTGTGAAAGCTTGCCGTGGTTTTTCTAATGCTGCTTTATGATCTGTGTGCCCCACCCAGCTGGTGGGTTCAAAAGTTGGCAAACTGTCTGCTGTTGAATTGTGCTTTTGGGGTGAAAAGAGACTATAAATACAAATGAGCTCCAGAATGGCCGCTGATCTCTTGCAGATCTACTGTTCTTCAGTCTTACAAGAATGGAGATGATTTCCCTAGTTTTGTGATATTGAACTCTGCGGAAATTCTGACGTTTTAATCATTGACCAAGTTACCTGGCAGTTTAACAATCTGAAAAGTTGTCTTCAATAAAATAGTTTTACAAACTCTGTCCCACGGATTTTTGAATGAACACAAACCTCGGTTCCTCAAAGGAAGATGAAAAATCACTGCTAAACCATAGTGATCATGGTACAAGTCAGATATGCGTTCCTGCGTTGCATAAAGGGGTGGTAAGGACCAGATTTCTGTACATTTTATCCAGGTACAGGATACTTAATGAAAATACTGTTACACTTTGACATAAGCCTTGCTACTAGGTGGAATATTGCTTGCCTTTACCTCCCTTTTTATTGCTTGCTTTCTCTTCATCAGCTATGTAATTCTTCAGTTTTTCTGTGTGAGGCTGCCTTTTCAAACCTGGCAGGTAGGGCTCTGTTCTGGAATGATGCTCTGACATCTTTTCTACTAATAGGGATGTGGCTAAGTGGTGCTTCTTTGGGGTGTTTGTCTTGTGGTTCTGAGCCAGATGTCATTTTTTAAGGTGTGAAATGTGGAATGACTGTTTAGATTGGAGCTGCCAGGATGTTTGAGAGCTTGCAGCAGACTGGGGTTTTTTTGAGGTGGGTTTTTTTTTTTTGGTAGTTTGAGATCTTGTTGCTAGGGCATTGTTGAGTCATTTTACTGATATATCTGGATCAGTTTATATCCTTCTTGTGCTGTGAAATTTAATTCCTTCTGTCATTTTTCTTCACATTTTGTTTCCTGGACAACAGCCTGACTTCTGAAGCCAGTGCTCTTCTGTTTTTAATCCCTACACTTGTTACTAAATTGATCAGTAAATCAATGAATATTGATCCTGAAGTACTGCCATGAGGTTTTAAGGCTGATCCCAAACTAATTAATAGGAACACAAACCTCTGAGTTACTGCTTCAGACCGCAGCTATCCCTACAGCAATTTTAACCTTTCAAAAGCAAGCATATTGCTATTACAAGGTGTGCTAGACCTTTTTTGGGTATTTTGAATATTGTCCTGAAATGCTAAATAGTTATTTTGGAAAAAAGAATTTCTCTGGGAATAGATTATTTTATATTTATCATGGACTGAATGACCAGCATGTTTAAAACAACACAAACCAATGCTGTCATGTTCACATCCATACCTATCAGTTTTATTTCAATTTGACTGCACTGTTGCCAAGCAACAAGTGCACGACTCCCACATTTGCCTGCCTACTCACTGCTCCGTTATCAACTCATTTGTATTCCAGAAGAATAAAAGGAAACCTAAATTTCAGTCTGCGTTATTGAAAGCAGTCTGACTAAGAAGCCCTCTTGGTTGTACCTACCACAGGCAAGGTTTGGGTAGAGAGCGTAGCCCTAGAACTTGGGAGTGCCATCTTACTTTCATACCTGTCTGCAATTTTTTTTGTATCCTAGCTTCCCAGTCTGTACATGTATTTGGAAAACACCACAACCCCATTTCCACTTCCAGGCTTTTATCATCACGCTTAAGACTTTGAAGTCTGGGTAGCAAGTCATTCGGTATGGGGACAAACAACTTCTGGAAAACAGTATATTTTTTTAATAGAGTTGCTGTTCATTGAATAGTCTCATTATGGGTGAAACGTTCTCAGAGCGTTTAAAGTTTATTCCATGTGGGTTTTTTGCATGCAATAGTATTTGGCATCATGTATTGAATTGTTCAGCAAAGACGTGTAGTTTTCACGTAATTTCCTCAGCTCAAGGCGGTTTAGTCATAGCACCTCATTTTGTGATCTCTGTCCTACCTTGCAAGCTAAGCTGCTTTAAACTGTGTGGGATGAAACCATATGAATGAAATAATTCTAGGAAATACCTAGTTCTGAACATAAGTAGGTTGATACTGTTTTGGAGTCAGTCAGTACTTAGCAAATACATTGACTGTCCAAAGAGAGCAGCAGGCAGTGACGGTTTTTGTTAATACTGATCCTAGTTAGTGGAATTTATCAGTTCATGTCAGATTATTTAGCCTGGGGAAAACATGGAACTTGTGCAAGTGGGCAACTCTTTCACACTGCTGGTAGCCACTTTATATAATGAGGCACTTCTGCTGGCCATTGAAGGTACCATGCACGTATTGCTTATGGTCTAGGTTGTCTAAACTTTGGCTTGGATAACTAGTTCTTGTCTACCTAAAATGTATGTGAAATGTCAGTCTTTGGTTTTGGTTTTTTTGGTTTTTTTTTTTTTTTTTTTTTTAAGTTTTCTGTCCTATTAAACATGGAGAGTCTGTTTTTGAGAGGGAGAAAGAGCTACCGTTTTCTAGTAGCTATATGATATATCATAGAGATATGCCTTAGGTGTTTGCAAGTTCTAAAGGGTACAAAGGGGAAGGGTAGACCCTGTGTTACAATGATCTCATCAGCTTATTAATAAATAAAGTTAGGGATACATCAGTATCAAAATAATATAATTTGATTTAACCATAATTTCCCCCATGAGACATGAAGATTGAGCCAAACGTCTGCTTGAAATGGGTTTGTATAATAAAATATTATCTATTCAGTGATATTACTATGCTTATTTGAAAAGAAGCACTGTCACTAATTCAGTTCAATACAAACATAACTTTATTTTTACTTAAATGCCAATGAAGTAACTGTACAAATTCATTGTGTAACATTTACTGTTAGAAATTAAAACACATTTCTGGTTATAGAAATACTGTTCACAATTGGAAAGTTGTGATTTCTCTGATACCAGTGGTTGTAAATGGTCTACAGCCCTCATTGACACCTAGGAGAAATAGGTAGAGGACTCCAGTCTCGGTAGTGAGGTTTTCTGGGTTTTGCAGCACCTTCATGCTACAATAACTGGAAATTAAATGGCCTGAAATGAATGAAAAAATTGTATAAAGATTTGTAATATTAAGTGAATAATACTTTTTCAGTGAACTTGTTCTTCAATTTTCATTTCATGCTGTTTGCAAAACTTTATCTGTAGTATATCAAGTACCTTTGCCACATAATTTAAATTATTTTCCTAGAGTGGACAGAACCACATGTGCAACTATTTCTGCTCACTGATGGTGCAGATGTCAAGGAGAATAACATTCATGCTCATCCTTATAAAGCAAAGATTTGGGCATGTTCAGTGCCATGGACTGAATTAATTTTTTTTTCGGTCACAAGATTCAAGGATTGTTTCAATGACAGCTTGACAACTAATTGCTTAATTGATTTGTTACATAACTTGCATTAGAAATTGGCTGATACTTCATTTTACTGATCAGAAAGTAGTAGTTTGATGCAGGCTGATTTGTGATATTCTTTTAAGCATAATACATTAACATTTCAGATTTTTGGATGTCACTTGAAATAAAGTTAAGGAGTTCCATTTCATTAATTTGTGTTGATAACTCCTTGTTGTTGGAGAGTGTCATGGCATTGAACATCTTGTGTTTTCTTCTACTTTTATCTTTTTTTTTTTTTTAAATATGGAGAGTGAGAAATAACTTGCCTACCACTTTTCCCATGCTGAAGTTAGACCATGTTGCCTTCTCAGTTTACACCCTCTTAGACATCATGGCATTGTCATATTTAATTCCTAAATTCAAAACTGTTGTTCTTCATATTTAAAATATCCTAATACGTATGAAGCAAACATAGATATACATGCTAGCGATTTTTCTCAGGAATAACTTCTGATTAGTGAAACAGCTAGGTTTAGTTCCTTTATTTTTTTTCCCTTCCTTTTGCATGTTGTCATAACTTACAAAGAATCTGTGCTGCTATATTACAAGAATTGCTCACTGGCAAGTCAAGCAAGACAATGCAGATATGATACAGGCCTTCTATTTTTTTTTCCAGTTGTTTCATGACAAAATCATACATAAAATCAGTACTTAAAATTCTGATGTTTTATTCTGTGCAAGTAAAATTAAAAATTTAAATACAAAATAAGCACATTTTTAAAAACAAAATCATAGGTTAGTTTTACTCAATTAAGACATATTAAAATAAGTAGCAGCTTAGTATCAAGACATTAGTGTGCACTTCTTTAATTAAGAACTGTTATTTTCTTTAGATCAGAGTCAGAACTTCAAATTTCTTGTATTTTGATTCATTATTTGACCTGGATGCTTAACTCCAGCTATATATCACAGGAATAAACTCAATAATTTTCACAAGATACAAGCCCTTAGCCAATAAACATTGCCACTGCATTAAGCGTTACAACATAAACCAAATACATCTCACAGATACTTGCTCTGGAGGGCATGTGAGTATTCAAAACATTTGTAGTGGATTCCTCTTTCCTTAAGGTAGCAGTTGTGCTTTGAGGCATTTTGGAGTAGTTTGTTGGCATTCCACTGGTGATGCTTAAAGTCATAGGAGTAGTGGATGATCCTGTTGAAGGAGTCAGGCTTGAGTTCACCTCGGTTGAATCTTTGATGTAGATTGTGTGTGTGGCTGCTGCTTCTTGAGAACTAACCTTCCTAGTTGTCAGATCTTCTGGATAGAGGAGTAGTGGTCGGTCTGTGCTCGTAAACAGTACAGTTTGGCTTAAGGTTGCCAAGGTAGAAACTTCCTTAGCTTTAAATTGTTTATGCATTTTTGTCATTTTGGTTGGTTCAGCTACTGGAGAAGTAGCTTTGTCTGCTGCCTTCATTCCTTTAATCATGAGGCTAGAGTCTGTAGCTGTGGGAGCCGCTGAAGTTGCTGTGGCATTCATCCAAAGCACAGATTGATTAGCACAGGGAGCCCCTATAACACTGGCAGCTGTTCCCTGCACCCATTTAAGCACATATGGGATATTTTGTTTATCGCTGCAGGACCATGGGTTGTTATATAGTGTTACTACTTGCAGCTGAAAGAGCTGGTCAAAAGCTTTGTCAGGAATGTATGTGAACTTGTTGTTGTGCAGGAAGAGGCTTGTGAGGTGTTGTAGTCTCACCAGTGTTCCTGGAAGTATCTGGGACAAGAAATTATTGGATAGATCCACCGTCTCTATGTTGTAGGGCATATTGGTTGGAACTGTCCAAAGTTTGTTGCTACTGAGATTGAGAAACTTGAGACTGCTCAGTGTGTTGTTGATCAGAACAGCTCTTTCCACCATATTCCTGGAAACATCGAGCACTTTAAGATTCCACTGGTAAGCTGTATCAAGTTTCTGAAGAACTTTAATGTTGTTGTTTATGGCATATAATTCCCATAAGGACTTGGGCAGATGAGCAGGAACATTCTTGAGCCAATTATTTGAAATATCAAGGGTCCTCAAATTGGTGAATCTTGTTAGCTGATGATCGAGATCTACGAACTGGTTAAAGGACAGATTTAAATATGTGATGTTGTCTTGAAGTCCATGTGGCAGTATAGTTAAGTTTCTGCCTGAACAGTCCACATTCCTGTCATTTCCTGAGCATGTACAGTTAGAAGGACAGATACCCAAACCAGTGGGTATGAAAAACAGAAGGACCAGCAGACAGGTAGATGTATTCAATATCTGGTATTCCATTGTTGCCTGGAAATAAATATACCAAAATGACACCCTTTAAATCCATGTAATATATTTTATATCTTTATAAGGGTTGTCCTGGCAATGACCACTTGCAGGAGAAATTAAGTAAAAATATCAATAAACCCCTTTGTGGCATGGTCCTTTTTAGAATTGTTCAAGAGAGACTTTACAAAGCATCCCTTCATAGACTGTCATGTTGTCTGGCAGAATGAGACTTGTTTTTTCATCTCCCTTTCCCCCTCAAGCTCAAATGAGGGCTTTCTTCCGAAAATGCAAGTCTCTTCCAAACGTTATACAATGTCTGCTTCTTGTTTTTAGTGATTTCAAGCCTATATTATGTTTGGAATAATGTGTTCTTTTATACAGGATGAAAAAATGGCTGTCAACTGGATCTGCTTTACAAATCTCTGCAGCAATGTAGCAGTCCCCCCCATACATGCATGCTATTTGCTTAAGTAGAATTGGTTAAAATACATCTTAAATTGTTAGGAATTTAGTTTGAAACCCAAATTCCATGTTCATGCTAACATGCACATTATTATTTTTCCTTACTATAGTGTTAATTACATTCTCAAAGCTGGTAACACATGTTTGAAAGCTGAATTAATGTTAGTAAGAAATCTCTGACACTGCAGCAAATTTCTGGTGCAAGCATCTGTCATCAACTAATAATTTCGTTCTTATTTATGTCTCTAATTTTGTAGTAGGTTTTTGTGGTTAAAAACAAAAAACATAAACTTACCGTAATCCCTTCTGCAGTATCAGCACATCATTTCTGTGAAAGATTTAAGCTTAGAGGTCGTCTTGTTCTAGAGAGTAGCTACAGTTGCTGTCTGTGGATTGTGCTTGCCTCTTCAGCTGCATCGTATTGCTGCTAGCTGGGGCTCTGCAACCACCTGATCTGCACTACATTGGAGGACTGCAGAGCTGTCGTTGGTGCTGACTCAAATTTATTGCAAAGCGAGCATATTCAATAAAATAGTTGTTTTGTATAATTTAAATCGGTTAACTTCTCCATATCTATATTTTATGCTATGTTAATGCATCAAAACATAACATGTAAGATTGCCTGCATAAACAGTACCAAGTGAAATTTCTGTAGGCTATTTTAGTTTAAGCTATGATCCCATTTAAATGTTCCTATTTAAAAAGTCATGTTAAGTTGTGTTCTTTTTTACCTTTGATTAACCTCTCCTCCTGTAATAAAGGTTAATGTTAATTTAGGCTTCCTGTCCTAAGCTTTTTTGAGCTACACTGCCGGAATATCTTTCCATAATTTTAAAATGTTCAGTTTTCTACTCCTCAGATCAGGCTATCGCTGTATCGTCAGGTATAATATAGCTCAGCTTGTAGGATTTTACAGTTTTCTATAGGAAATCCTTATCTGAATTTCTCCAAACAATATGGTGAGAGTGGACATAATTTATAATGCTGTTGATTTTAACATTCTGTAATGCAACAAGCCTCAAAAAAAATCTTTGCGTAATTGGAATGCTACTCTTAGGCATACACAATCATACAGCTTATATAAATGGTAAGAAAAAATTGTAAATATCTTTTCCTATGGCCATTGTATGCACAGCAGCCTGGAATTGCATTTGCATAACTTATTACTTCAATTTTCAGTGGTAATTTAAAGATTTTGAAGTTTATTGTTATAATATGTGCAAACATGTGCTCTGTGCAACATCCACAAATATATTCCCTCCCCAGGCAAACTCAAAACTACAAACTTTGCCATTTTGCAGAGATGTCATGGAAAGCTAGCTTCAGCCTCTAGCGGCTGCTTTCGATAAATCTAAACATTCAGTACTAGTAAACAAACAAACAAAAAACCCTCAACCAATTAATTTACCTCTGAGACCACCCTCCTACTTTCCACCAAAAAGTTAGCTTATCAAAATGCATGGTTTTAGGCAAGACGGTGAGCTTCACTTGTACTCAGGGCCCAGAAAAGAACCTATAAAACACTTAGTCACCTTGAGTTAAAAGGGATCTGGCATCCATGCAACTTTAAATTAATTTTTAAAGTTTATATTAATAATATGAGTGCATTCTGAAAATACTACTTCAGAGGAAGAAATTAGTGAATGCGCACAACTATTTCTGCTAATCATTTGCGTGGGTGTTCTGCAAACTGTTTCTATTTTATGCATAAAACCCAAAAGCTCTAGGTAAAAGAAAGCCTTTTGTACTTGTTCTTCAAGCGTTTGGAGCTGTTTCAGCTTTTCAGTGACCACTATATGAAGTGTTTACTCGCACTGTTCTCTGCTTTACCAAACAATAGTGTGAAGTGACTGGAGGTTTTACACCGGTAAACTTTTTGGCAATATTTGATCTAAAGGAAATCCCATTGCTATTAGTAAAGAACAAATGATGGCTGTTAGGAGGATTTGTTTCAGATACCTGTAATCCATTGTTGCCAGGCTGTTACCCAGTCATATGCAGAAAATGGGCCTTTGTATGAAAGACGATATGTATGCATGTCGAGGCATTTAGACTTTGTTTTGAATTCGAAACTTTGTGTCGAAGCAAATACTCAGTTGTGCTTTAAGTGACCAAAACATCTTTGAATTAGAAAGTTTTATTAAAATTAACTTGAATTCGTTGCATTCGCTTATACAGCCTAGTAGAACAAACAATTTTTAGAAGCTCTGTGTATCTCTAAAGCTGTACTGTTTCTTGAAAGCTCCATGTCTATGTGTATGTTACATATATGTGTATCCTGGCACACAAAGCTATGCATACTCTGTTTTCTGTAGTCTCCAAAATCTGGAATCACTAGTTACAGAAAACTAGTGGGCACAATCTGTATTGTATTTTGAAATTATTTGCTTCAGGCAGAAGCAGGTTGTTCCATTTTGTGAAAGCTGAAGTTACGAAACGCTGGGGAAGTGTCCGTGCTGTGGTTTCACTGTTCTTGCCTGCGTCAACTTCTCCTTTTTTTCAGTTATTTGAAGAATACTTCATTTAAGAAAAATGCGAAGTATGCTGGGAATAAATTTTGGCAGTCTGCAAAGGGTGTTCTCGCTCTGGCAGCTGGGGCAGTGGTTCATGAGTCTCTTGAATAAGTAACTTGGTTGGTGGGAGCAATTGTTCCTCTATTTCTCAGTGAAATTCTGGGTGCTTGCTGAGATCTGAACTGTGATCCTCAGTTGGTTCCCTGAGCCAGTCAGGTGGAGGTGGCAAATCTGGGGATTCGGGTAAAGCCACTGGGTGAGGACAGGAGTCGTGTGCACAGCCTGCTGCTTCTGAGGTGGGAGCTGGAGATGCATCCATGTTGGAAGCTGAAATGCTGGCTGCAGAGCATTCTTCTACTGGTGGAGGCAATTGGCTGTTTTCATTACTGGTAGTGCAGTGAGATGGTTTCTCTGATGCAATGGGATCATTCTGTAAGTTTGTGTCTTGTTTCAATTTCCAAGGCAACATAAATAAAACTGATGAATGTTTGGTAGCCTGGTCAGAGTCCATAAAGACATCTGGTGTGTCTCCATCTGCATATGGAGAACGACCTGCCCAATTTGAATCAACTAGAACTGGCCTCTTGCAGCATTTCCACACAATAATAATAATAATAATAGCCATTATCATACTAACCAAAATGATGCCAATTATCAGTGCTGCTATCCAGTTTCCATCGCTAGGTTCTGTATAAGCTTTGGGGAACTGAGGTGGTGTCGTAACAGTCAGTGCTCTTCTAGATTTGTGTAAACTGGGTCCAGTTGCTTGCAACTGATATAGAGGAGCTTTGTCTTCTATTGGACTCCTGATACTGGTGTATGCATTTCTTTTATTCATGGAAACGTTTTGAGGTGTTACTGTAGAAAGCGATTTCCAGATTTCTCCATAGAAGAGAAACAGTATTACTTGGCTGCTGGCCATTTTCCTGCAGCCTCTTTA